GAAGTAGCCCCTGGCATCATGCTCTACGCCAATTGAGCAAAGACTTATAACCGGTAACTGCTACTTCCCGTGTTGTTTCGACGCTGTATGCGAAGCTGGAGTGTCCTCTCCAGAGCACAAAGCCTGGGTAAAATATTATGGAGGATAGGCTGTTACCCAAGCAGCAAAATCCCCCTCTCCACGTCGCTGGAATAGTCCAGTGGAAAGGCAAGAGCCAGTACAACTGGTTCCAGCAATGTCGCAGAAGTTGGCAGAATGACACGAACTGCCTCTGGGACTCCAGCTCCGGATTTTGCCTCGAGGTTATCTCCTGAAGCCCTTTCCATAAGTGGATATAGACACACGGCAGTGGAGGTTTAAAATCGGAGTTTTCCTTCTCCTAGATGGGCTGCCTTCCAGGGCTGACGAGTCCCACCTACCTGGCCTGCTCTCTAATAGTGTGAAAGTATGCAGTGTTAATTGGCTGTCCTATTTATCAAAAGGGGGTTAAAAATAGGATTTGACAATTTCACACACCATTTGACAAGCTCTCCTTGCTCATCCTCCTTCAGAGCTGAAACTCTGCCCTCCCTCAGGCCATTCATATTTACCAAGTTAGGATCGGAGATAGCATTAGAGTATTTGATAATTCCGCGCGCCGTAAATCAGCAGGGACTCCAGGGAAACTCCAATTTAAAACCCTAGGCCCTCCCTCCTCCTAGGCCATGTGATGAGGGGGAGCAAAGAAAAACAAAGAAAAACAGACCTGGCCTTCTTGCCCAGCCAAAGGCTCCTAGGTAAATCAGCAGGGACTCCAGGGAAACTCCAATTTAAAACCCTAGGCCCTCCCTCCTCCTAGGCCATGTGATGAGGGGGAGCAAAGAAAAACAAAGAAAAACAGACCTGGCCTTCTTGCCCAGCCAAAGGCTCCTAGGTAAATCAGCAGGGACTCCAGGGAAACTCCAATTTAAAACCCTAGGCCCTCCCTCCTCCTAGGCCATGTGATGAGGGGGAGCAAAGAAAAACAAAGAAAAACAGACCTGGCCTTCTTGCCCAGCCAAAGGCTCCTAGGTAAATCAGCAGGGACTCCAGGGAAACCCCAATTTAAAACCCTTAGATACAATCTGTCTCCTATTTATCATGCTGCCCTTTCATCCATCCCTAGAAACATCAGGACCACACAACAGAAAGAACACTGTTAATAACCCATGACAATGGGTGGAGATAACCTCACCTAGATGACTGTGAATCTTCAAATATTGCTTTGTGTTTGGGTGAGAAATGGTTAATTGAAGGGAAAAAAGAGGCAGCCTCAAGGATTTTCCCTTGCTTGGTGTCACTTTGTGAATGTTAATGAGTGCAAGAGGATATCCTATAGACCATCTTGACTGCTGTCATTGGTGTTGTTGATATTCAGGCCGATATTCAGGGACACAATATCCTACATTCATAAACCAGCATTTTCCCCCCTGAAGAATTGAACTGTGGTGTTTTTTTTAAGTGCAGTGTTGCAACCGTTTACAAGAAAACACAACAACACTTGAAAAACTAATTAGTGTTTAATTGCAATGAAGAGGTGCTCTGAGATGCAAAGAGACAAAAGGCAATATAGCTAGATATGCCAGATCTGAAGATCATGTTGATAGATGGTGGTGCAGAGAGAATAAAGATTGACTGAAGTAAAGCAGAGAATTTATTGGATGTGAGATTGTTTTGATTGCCTGGCTTGCTGTAGGCAACAGCCAGATGCTTCTGAGCTTGCTTATACTGGTTTAGAGCTACAGAAATGGATGATATGTGAAGAAAAAAGTAGTGGAATAGTGGTATCGTAACAGAAAAAAAATCTCTGCTCCTGTATACATATGCTCCATATTGTGAGGAGCTCCTGGGTCTTACCTAGGACCTCATGGTTTTGGTATCTTTGCTGTTATGTGCTGTCAAGTCACACATGAATTACAGCAACTCTAGTGGGGGTTTCAAGATATGTGAGATATTTAAGGAATGCTGGTAATTTTCCATGGTTAATTGGGGATTTCAACCCAGGTCTCTTGAGTCCTGGCCTGACACTTTATCCAGGCTCTCCTTTTGTACTCAGCAGTCCTTCCCATCTAATATGTGCCTGGTATAGATTACTCCCACAAGGTATATGTACCTTTTGCTTACTCCACCTTTCTCTGTGTATATAGCTTACAGGAGTCTGCATGAGCTTCTTTGCTTTGCTACCAGAAGTTCGCATTCTTTTGAAGAACTACAGAGCTGAGAGAAGTGGACATGGGTTGACTGCAGGTCCCAGAATCCTCCTGGCAGCATGATCACTGAATGATTTTTAAAATAATAATAACAATAACAATAACAATAACAATAACAATAACAATAACAATAACAATAACAATAACAATAACAATAACAATAACAATAACAATAACAATAACAATAACAATAACAATAACAATAACAATAACAATAACAATAACAATAACAATAACAATAACAATAACAATAACAATAACAATAACAATAACAATAACAATAACAATAACAATAACAATAACAATAACAATAACAATAACAATAACAATAACAATAACAATAACAATAACAATAATAATAATAATAATAATAATAATAATAATAATAATAATAATAATAATGATGATGATGATGATGATGATGATGATGA